GAAAATGATGGAGTCCAACTGATCCTACAGAACTTCATATCAAATTCCACCTCTGATGCTCTTTTTTCATAAAATACTTTTCACCCTGTGGTACATTTGGAAAGCTAGGAATGACAATCACTTCCGAAGGCATACATGGACTCCTATGCAGGTAAATACTACTGTTGCTGCCCACATTAAAACCAACACCCAAGCATGACTCCCGCAGGCTATCACTTCAGCTACTATAGCCTCAGATGATACTCTGTCACCGCAACAGTCTCCTCACATGCTGTAAGGTACGCTGATTTCAACCTTCACCCCAAACTACAGACACAACCACAAATGATGCACAGCCATGTGATTGCTATACCGGCCCTGCTTCATGGTACAAGATGCTATGTGGATGCATCCATCGAGAAAGACCAACAAAATTCTAACCCTACACCGGCTAGATTGGGTGTATTCATCCTCAATTTTCAGGAACAGACACCCCAGGCGATCTACGTCAAAGCCAGGCTTGATGATTGCTCCTCAGTGATGATGGCGGAGGCTGCTAGTCTCGTCCTTGCCTCTGCAGTCGGTCACAACCTCAACCTTTTAGGTGTTAACTTCTTATCGGACTATGAACAGTTAGTTCACTTCCTCAACAAGAATGATATCACCAATCCGCCTGACTGGAGAATCAAGTATTACACACAAACCTTCGCCAACTTCACAAGAAGCAGTTCATCCAACATCTTCAAGGTCCACAGGCGCCTCGACACCATGGTCGACGCTCTGGCCCGCCAAGCTGTGCAACATTCCACTTTCCAGAACTCTGATATGGAATTCTCCTGTTCTTTAGAGCATCATATGCCTCATTGCAATGTTCTACAAGCACTACAATCTGTAGGCATAACTGGTGTAACAATACTTGCAGCGCGTTGCTGCTAATTATAAAATTGTTTGTTGTAAAAAAAACTGAATAATAATAATATAATAGCTAGTGCCACCATGCTAGCTGTGGTAATAATTTCCATTTGTGCCGCCATGCTAGCGTCACCTGAACTGAATAATAAGAAAGCATCAAAAGTCCATTTGTGCTTAAAGGCAACTGATAATAATTTCCCACATACTTCCCCATTCCACAAGACGTGACACAGCTAAATAACCGACCGGCACGAGACACGTAATATGGGCTTCAAATTTCTTTTTGAAGAAAACAATAAAGTATTGGGAGCTTCTTAGTCATGCCGCTGACGCTACCCGAGTGACGTAACAGTCCTGACGCCGCACGGATATCGTCATTAATTAGCTTGTGATATAAATATAACTAGTCACTGCATTTTGCCGCTTGCCGGCATCGCTCTACAACTCTTGCGTCTTTCCAATTAAAGAAAAAAAAAGAAAAAACTTTCATCCATCACTGCAAATCATGTGCCCAACGCTCCACCGTGTACAGCAGCTTCGCAGGGATATGTAGGATCGGATGCCGTTTGGAAGAGAGAGGTAGGCAGATAGATGCCTCGCAGTCTGTTAGAACAGCTTGCAGAGGAGACTATCGCCTCGTCAGAAAAAGCTACAGCCTCTGCTGAAAAGGAGATGGATGACGGACGTAAATGGCTGATAGACTGTAAAAGCGTTTTCTTGAAAACGACATGTGAGGTGAGAGAGAATAGTGATGGTGTCAGAAGAGAGTAGGAAACTGCAGCCTGCGTTATAAAAATTGAAGTCCCAATCTACACAAGTCTAGATAGAGCATGTCTTTTGAAATGAGTCTAACATTACTGCTGCCAGCGTTGGTTTTGCCCTTAGACCACCACACCACAGGTATCTCTGCATGTGATTTGTTACCATTCTTTTTGATAGGAAAGTCAGCAACTTTTAGAAAAAAAAACAGTAGGGGAATTGAAGTTACAAGCCAAGGGTGATTCTTTTTTTATTTTATTCTTCCATAAAAATGAAATGTGTTATAGTAGAAACAAATCATCAAGCATCACTACTATAGAAATCTTTTTTTTTACAATGGTTCTTGTTTCTAATAGAGGCGGATGACATAAGAAAGCGCTTGTAACTATAGCAGAGAACACTGTAGCTCTTGAACCGTCCGTAGAATTTTTAAGGAAACTGCACCTAGAGACTCGTTTATTGGGTTCCATCTACATCAACACGCACACACATTAAGTCATGTCAACTCTCTCCCAATAACCAAGGTGGGACTAATCCAACATATACAATGAAATATCTCATGTCCGAACATCTTGCAAAACCCTCTCTAAAAAGCTTCTTTCCAAAAACTTGGTCTTTGGAACGAGACTGAATGGAAGGCACACTTCTTTATTTCAAGGGAAATAAACACTTATCCATGGAAAATAGCAAATGGTTGGTGGAATGGCAGGGTATTCAACTTAAAAAAATATATCGGTGGTAGACCGCCGCGTAAGGCATGGCTAATTAATAATTAACAAGGATGTTCCAAAATGAACAATAAAAGAAAGTGGCCTATCTCAGTTTTTTGAGGAGGCTTTGGCTGTAGGCTCTCTCTTTCACATTTCAATCTTCTTTAGCTCGAATGGAGGCTATTTGAATTTGTTCTATATCTTGTTCTTTTCTGTGTGTGTTCTCTATAAATTTAAAAAGAAGTGATCTGCCTATATTTGCTCAAAAAAAGAAGTGACCTGCCTACTGAACCGTGAGAAATCGGGATACTTATTGTTGGTCATGGTCAGGTCGATGCACCTACCGTCGTTTTTGTCACACTTCATTAGCCACTAGTCTGTTTCTCAAAAAAAAAAAAAACACTAGCTAGTCCCTTTTGTTAATACAAAATGCCACCATGTCAATGTGTATGTGTATCCAAGCTTGTGATACTTGAACTCTTCAATAATCATTCCCTTGGATCAGTGCGCCACTTTGTAGCCGGCTGTCCACAACACAATGTTGGATTTGTGCCTTACAAATGCCAAGTTCGCTAGGCATACAAGGATCATCATAGAGGATGTTGAACCAATCCATAAACCCTCTTTCCCAATATATGTTTAGTGTGTTGGATTTAATTTGGGCTTGGACCAATTTTAACTCAATTAAGTCAAATAAATCCTTAGGCACACATTAAATGCTAAGGTGCAATTATATAGTTTTAGTTCTATATGGAATTTTGACTAAACGTTGAGTTAACTTAAATAGGTGGACTATGTGTGCTCCTATTGAGAAGTTGAGAGAGACTAAGGACGTGCCACATGCATCCGCCGCCTCCGAGGAGTAGTGAGCGTGAGCATGTGACATGCACGAGCTTGTGCCGCACCGCTCCACAGCATGATGCGGTGTGAGTCGGGCCTTGGTTTTTCCACTTGAGCTTGGTTGATGGAGTTATCAACTCAACAGTTACCTAGTCTCCATATTCTGCAAGATTACTCCTTCCTTCCGTTTCTGGTAACTTTGTCACTGTCCATGTGTATCCTCTCGATGTGCCAGTGTGCTTCTTCGTTGTCCGTCTATTTTCGGTAACTTTGTTGTCGTCCATGTGCATATCCTTCCGATGCTCCGGCTTCCTCCATGATTACTCGATCCATCCTTCATGATTACTTCGTCCGTCTGTTTTCGGTAACTTTGTGGTCGTCCATGTGCATATCCTTTCGATGCTCCAGCTTCCTCCTTGATTACTCCCGACGCTCCGGCTTCCTCAGTGATTACTTAGTGCACAACAGTTTGTCTATAACCGGTAACTTCGCCGCCATCCATATGCATCCTCTCGACGCTCTGGCTTCCTCCGTAATTACTCGGTCCATCCATTTCCAGTAACTTTGCCTCCTTCCATTTGACAATTACGGGAGTAGTCGATGTGCGAGAGTTTTTATTGTAATTCTCTATGATTACTCTGTCCGTCTGTTTTTGGTAACTTCACCATCATCCATGTGCATCCTCTTGACGCTCTGGCTTCCTCCATGATTACTCTGTGCATCCATTTCTAGTAACATCGCCGCCGTCCATGTGCATCCTCCTGACGCTTTGGCTTCCTCTACTCGGGCATAAGTATGAGAGTGCTCGGGCATAAGTATGAGAGGTAACTAGAAGCCTTGCACTCCGTCTGTTCTCACTAATTTCGCTACTGTCCAGGTGCATCCTCTTGACACTCCAGCTTCCTCCGCTCGGGCATAAGTACGAGAGATAACCAGAAGCCTTGCACCAGACACACAAACCACACCCTCTCTTCTCTGTCGAGTTGCTCCGAGTTTTCCCCAATCTAATCTTCTGCACAAACAGTATGTTGTTTTGCTTGTATGCCACCGTTACTTCTATTGTGACTAGTAGTAATTACACATGTACATTCATGTCATCAAAAATATTTGTTACTGTTTTTTTCTGGATTAAATGAAATATGAAAATACCTATTATCTAACATATTGAACGCCCCCTTTGCCAACCCTAAATTTATGCTTTAGGATAATCTGGCCAGTGTTCTTTTTTTTTTTTGCGATTACATAGCACAATGCAGACACTCACAATGCACACACTCACCCCTATGAATCTGGTCAGTGTTCTGCGCTAGCTAGGATTGTAAGACTTGAACATTTTGTTTTGATGCATGGATTACCATGCCTAATAGGCTAATACAAATAATATATAATATGGTGGCAACTGGCAAGTGTTTTGTTGATGCAAGTATGCATGGTTAGTTGTATATATTCTCAGGGACACCAGAATCGGAGACATACACGGTTGTAACGTACACTTGCACCTAAACACGCAATTAATACTCTTTAATCGACGGATATGATTTGTTTAATCAGTAGCCAGAATTAAAATAACAAGTCCGCAGTCCGTCCCGTACATACTCTTATTAGTTGTTGCGCTATCTGCCTATCTCTATGGTCAATGGTTGAGCCCTTGCTTTCCTCTAATTAAGGTTACATTACACACAACAAGCTCCTGTCCAAACTTCTGACCCCGCCGGCTCCCAGTCCCAGCCCGGAGCTTTCACATTTTTCCTTCTTCACCTTTTGAAGAGTGTCCCCCCTTTGTCGACGCGCTCCAACTCCATGACGCTGTCGCCACCGCAGCCGCCGCCCTCCTCCAGCCCGAGGCACGCAGCGATCCAGGAGCTCAGGAGGGGTACCCAGCTGGCGGAGCTGCTCAGGCAGCAGGTAGAGCTCATCCCGGAGCCTAACCGCCGTCACGCTGCAGTGGTCAACGTGGGCCAAATATCCATGGCTATGGAGTCGTCGCTCTCCATTCTCCAGTCTGAGATGGAGCACCCCTTCGTCTCCGAGGTCATGGCTGCGCCCACAGCCTACTCCGACGGAGGCACCAGCAGGTGGGACAGAAACGGTCCCGTGCCCCGTACAAGAAGGGTGAGGCACCGCCGAGGCAGAGCTGGAGCTGAACTCCCGATGTGAGTACTACAAACCTATGATTTTTACCGCGTCTTGCATGCTACAAGCCTGCAAGCTACAGTAAGTGGTGTTATTAAGACATATAACTTGCATAGTTGCATATAACTTTATGTGGATCTGCATATGGGAAAATGAGTTAATTTGCAGATCTGTTATAAACTTATTTGGGCTTAAAGGAACTAATTCACGTCACAGTTTACTACTGTTTACTTCCTTGCTCCATTAGTTAATTAATAACTCGCTTTTGAGAGCGACGCGTTAAGAAAAATGGAACGTACTTAATAGTTTAGGCGTAGAGATTTCCAGATCTACATTACGATTTACAAAAAGGAAGAATATATTAGTTAAGTGTCTCTGGATCTTATTCTGTCCAAGTTCACATCTATACCATACATGTGTGCTTAATGCTCAATTAGGCGAGGATCAATATTTCATGGTTATATAGGTAGGAAAGTTTGTAAAAAGTCATGCAGTGAAATTACATTCTCTTTCTCCTCCATCCATGTTATTCAGCAAGGAAATACTGACTGAGGCACCAGAAAACGATCGTTTCCACTGGAGGAAATATGGTGAGAAGAATATCCTCTATGCTGAATATCCAAGGTATGTATCTTTGATGGAACTTCATAATGCATCACCAACGTACTCTAGCTAAGTCACCATATTAGCAGATTAATTCGTCGTGAAAGATTATGATCATTCATCCGTTTTCTAATCCATCATGACACCTTTTACAAAGTACAAATACGTACTATAGCTCTGTCAGCTTCCTTCTGCTTACACGTTTTTTTTGGGTCTGTGCTTCTCTAAAAAAGCAACTTTTCAGATAAGCATATCTTTGGTACATTGGATTTTAGCTTCTATCCTTGCACGAGTTTTTTTTTTTAATTCAGACCCAACAATTACTTATTCTATTTGGCCGGGGAGCTAGCTAGCTTCTGCTCCCTTAATAAGGATAACTCATCTTGTGTGGACTATGGAGTAGTAGGAGCTTATTATGGTTCCAATATTATAGCTGGACTTGGGCAATAGCTAAACTAAGGCCTTGTTAAATTTGTTTCAATTTGTAGATATATTGTAGACTGCAGCTTGTATACTTCTGTAACATCATTGCAAGCTGTAACCCGTGCACAATGTTTCCATAAAGTAGTGTACATTTATTTATACTGTTTCCAATTATCTGTTGTGAGTCATGCATGTTTAGATTTCTGCGAATATATTATTGTAGTTATCTTCTAGTAAAAAAAGTTTAGAAATTAAAGGAGTATGGTATATATATTCTCTCCGTTCTTGAAACTAGACGGACATTTATTTTTTGTGAGTGGACCTATCTTGTTTGATGCAGTACTGTTCAAGACGTGTTATCCTTAAGGTCTTGTTTGAATGTTATAGTATTCACCTCAATCCACATGTGTTGGGGTGGATTTGAGGTGGAATTTAGTTCAAGTTCCACTCCAATCAACTCCAACACATATGGACTGATGCGAATCCGAGACTACATCCAAGCAAGGCCTAAAGAAAGGCAGAAGTTAGCCTAACGTAATAGGTTATCCTCTCGAGGAGTCACAAGCTAGATTATCCTTTGAGAAAGCATATTTAAATGCATAGCATTATGAAGTTTATTTTAAACATGGTATAGATGCATGCAGTCACATATATACATGCATGCATGCGCACAATGCACACACAAATATAGTTCATCTCTATGAGCATTTCTAAAAGACACTATGCTGGCTAGGGGTGGAATGTGGAAATGGTCGAATCACGATTGAATCGAATATAAATGTCACTATTTACTATAATTTTTTTGTTGAGGATGAATATGAAGGGAATACAACTGATCAGGTAGCTCATCTTTGTCATATAATTGAAATTAACATAATTAATCATATTAAACTACAGACATTAGTAATATAGATTTAATTAAATTCTCTTTATATATTGTTATTAATATTGTTAGCCATTACTTTTAAATAGTTTCAATTGGTACATATTAATAATATAATAAAATGAATATAAATATATAGTCATTAGTCACATGAATAACTTTTAGATAGTTTCACCTGTATCGGAAATCCATCCATTCTTTTCATTATGTATCTAGAATTGCATGGAGAAAAATGATATAAAATAGATTTATACACATCCATTTAGTATCTATAGTAGAAATAAATACGAATATAGATATTCATATTATAAGTTTTAGCGAATATAGATTCAAATAATTAGGATTTCCTTCATTTCCATCTGCCCGTAGATGTTGAGATTTAACAAACTCACCTAGGTGCCTTTACTATTGAGAGCATGACACCTCCGCTGAAAGAATAAATAATCGTAAATACGTGCACCCGTTCGGTTTCGGAGAGTTGACATGTACATAAAATGTCGTTATCAGCCTGTCAACAATCTCTACTTCTAACTTATTATTGGCATGCTTTAATTTTATCACTCGGAAAAAAAGAAGTTTATTTCAAGATTTATATATGTTCATACTGTCGATCGGTTACTAATTTGCAGGTTATACTACAAGTGCGGTTACAGCGATGACCACAAGTGCCCAGCAAAGAAATACGTGCAGCAGCAAAGCAACAGCTACCCTCCACTTTTCTTGGTCACCCTGATCAACGAGCATACGTGCGACACCTTGTTCCGGGATAATGAGCCCAGCTCAAGCAGCAGTGGTTCGCAGGTTCTCGACTTCACAAAGGCATCGCTTTCTCCTCCATTGATGGCCGCTGCCTCAGAGTTGAAAAAAGATGAAGAAGACAGTATTTCTGTGTCTATGCACAGATATTCGTATTCGTATGATGAGTACTAGCTAGTCGTCTTCGTTGCCCACGATGTCGGCAGATGCATTCCAGATCATCAGGTAGATTTATCCTTGGGACCCGGGTGGTACGGGGTAGCGCACTCAGGGATATTATTATCATATAGTGCATAGCGAGTTTCCAAGCAGGCAAGCAGATTCACGCGGCAAGAGTTAGTAGCTTGGCATATGCACTTGACGTTTGATTAAGGATTTCAAAGTACCCACCAGATCCAATCCCACGCATTTAATTATTTTCTCATTTCAGGGATCAATCACAAGCTGGTCTCGGTGGGTGGGGTTTGATGGAGGGCCAGGTCATTTTTTCTCTCTTAATCTGTCCTAAGAAACTACAGAAATAAATCGATCTCCTTATATTTGATTTGTGGACGACGGAGAGTATGAATATGATCAGACACTATTGTAAAAAACAGTCGCTGCTAAGTAAAGTTTTTTTTAGAGACGGCTATAATAGTTATAGAGGTGGCTGTGTGCTCTGGCCATCTCTACTTTTCCATCTTCCGAGAATCCATTTTTAAGAACGGGCCGAACCAAGCCACACACCCCCTAGAGACCAATTACTAGAGGCGAGTCAAAATTCAGCCACCTCTAGAAATTATTTTACATAATATGTAAATCAGGCAAAAGAATAGCAAAATAATACTCCTATGTCCCAAAATAGAAGTCGTTCTCGCTTCCCGAGAAGTTAGCTTTTTTTAACTTTGATCAATTATATATAAAAGAATATTAATATTTATAATATATAATTAGTATTATTAGATAGATCGTTTAATATACTTTATAATAAACTTATTTGGAGATATAAATGTTACACGTATTTTCTACAAACGTAGTCAAAGTTGAGAAAGTTTGACCTACATGTGTCCCATAACGACTTCTATTGTGAGATGGAGGGAGTAAGTCGGACATCACAAGTTACACGAAATACACACGCATGTGGCTTCCTCCCTTACCACCACTACCCCCGACTGGTTTTTTCCCCTCGGTAGGTACCTTCCCCTTCGACTCTGTGTCTTCCGTCAGGGGCTCATGACCATCCCTCGCGTGCACTGAAATCCCGTCAGGAAAAGTCCCTCCCATCGGTTGGCGCTGTCACGGGGAGTCTGACCATCAATTGTGGCTTTGTTCGCGCGCTGCAAGCAGGCATCTGGCCCACACAACAGAGGAAGCGTGCTGCGCGCGGCTACGAAAAGAAAGCGCATGGGAGGGGTTCAATATTTCACGGCCGCGCTCATGACTTTACTTTCCCATCTTCGTCTGCCGCCCCATCCGCACTCTCCACCTCGCTTGCGTCCTGCCCCTCACCCTCACCATGCCGCAGCCATCTAGCTATAACACCTCGGGTATTACGAGCTGACTCAGCACCTAAGTTAAGGTCTCAGAGAAATCAAGCCGAATGGGTTTTCGAATTTTTAACAAGTTAGAACACGTATGAAACGGGAAAGCGGTCTCGCTAAACAAAAACAAGATATAACTTGTGTATAGTGTTTATGGAAAATGATGAGCCAATAGGGTAGATAAGAATGCAACTGTAATTTTTGGAAGTGAATATTGTAACTAGGGTTTTTGGGAGCTCAAACATCGAATCCGTGATTTAACGGGAACTTTCGTTGAATCGGCAAGAATTTGTATTATGTTTAAAATATCATTTTTGACTAATTAAATTGAGTAAAATAGTTAAAAGGTGCTCATATGTTTTGCTCCTATGGGTTAGTAGGAAGTATGGGCTATTGCAGGGAGTACGGGTTGGTCGAGATTAATAGGGTTAGGCCTTTTAGAAATTAGGGCAAAAGTGTTAAAAGTTGCTTAGCTCTAATCGAAGCTTTTGACTTTTCGTAGTCAGAAAAAGGAAATAGACAATGCCGTTTTGACATCCAAAGTCTAACAAAAATTGTTAGGCACCAACTTCATGTTCTTGTACTGTTGGTTGTCCCTGTGTGTGCACTTGAGCATGGCTTAAGTTGTAGTGGTGTTGGGTGTTACGACACCCTCGTAAATTTGCTCTAACTTCGTTAAAACGTGTCTGAATCGTGTTGTTGGCGCCCCGTTCATGAACGGACATTCAGAGCGACGAGCCCATGTTGGCATACATCTATCTTCTCCTCTAGTTGGTCCCTGCTCTTAGTGATTGCTTCACCAGATAGTTGGCACTGCTGGCTGTAGCATAGGGAAATTAGTTGAACTTCATCCGGGATCGTTAGCAGTTTTTGGCTCGCTTTAAAAACCATGCATAGCACTATTGGTCCCGTGGGCGCAGTCACCATCCGAGTGCGAGCACTGCCGCTGCCGAGTTCCAACTGTGGCCGGGCCACTACCGCTAGCCAGCTTGCGGCTGGCTAACGCCGTGTGGCCTTGCCCCGGGCGATGGCCGGTCCCAGCTGGCTGCGGCTGGTCCTGCTGCTGCACGCGGGCCGCGCATGCACGGCTAGCCCATGGGCCACGCCGTGGTTGCGGCTGCATCGCGCCATCGACGTGGTGCTCGCCCCGTCCCTCGTCCTACCTACCCCGCCTAGTCCTTAAGCTGGAACCTTGCCGTCGTGACGAGTCGAGGGCCGGACGCAGCGGCGATAGGACGCTTCCCTGCCCTGTTTTGCCCGCTAGCCGACACAGGCGATCTCGTTTGGGTCCCGCTGCTTGTTGCTATGAACGTCACGCCAAGCCGCCTAGTCTCATCACCTGTGTGCACGAGCTCGCTCTGCCACAGCTGACCAGAGCCCCGGTTTAACACGCCCTACCGCTCGAGCTCATCCGCATGCTTTTCCCCACGACGTGGCCTCAGCCTGGGCACCGCGCCCCGCCTTTCTAATTCGCCTAGCCCATGGTTTCTCAGCCCATCTCCTCACGTCAGTAAGTAGCAGGGAGAGCTAGCTAGCCGCCTCAACCGCATCTGGCCACGGTAGAGTCCTACGACGCGACAATTCGGTAATTAACTCATCGTGGGCCATGTTCGCCGCAGTGACCTTGGACTAGGGAGAGAGGTAGGATTGGAGCGGTAATAGTTCAATTGTTTGTGGCTCTGAACTCGCCTTGACTCACGTCCTCTGGTGCTTGCACAGTTTTGGCTAGGAAGCTCACCATCGGTGCAGTGACACCCCGTTGCGAAGGCAGCTCTTTCCGAGGTGTTTTGTGCAAAGACCTAGTCTAGAGAAACAGTACCTCACCGCGTCATTTGATTTTCAAAGAGCACAGGCCCTCCTTTGCAAAAACGGTCGCGCGCGCGGGCTCTCCCGCCTTGGGCCGTTGCTGGGCCAGCTGTTGCGCGCGGCCACGCCTCGTGTTGGGCTGCTGGGCCGAGTAAGTGGCCGCCGACCCTTTTCTTTTCTAAAGCGTTTCCTAATTTAATTGCTAAAAGTAAACTTGTAAATTCAATAGAAATTTTTTTAGTTAACCAAAAATTGTGAAACCAATTTTGTTAAGTTCATAAAATTATGATCTACCTGCTAGTATATTTTATTCACCTAGTTTCATAATACTTTCAAGTGTAATCTAATTAATTTGATTACTTAATATTACGAAAACACAAACTTGTAGGAATTGCTGTGGCAAATTGGTAGTAGTGTTGGCTCTAGAATTTTTACACCAAAATCCTAACATTTTTAGGCGCCTACGGTAATTTTTGCAGCTCTAGAATAATTGTTTCGCTAGGATAGCTAATGAGCCTTAGTTCGAATATATATATATATATATATATATATATATATATATAACACAAAATAAAGAAATACTTTGAAATGGTATAACTAAAATACTGTAGTAAAATAGCGCGTTGTCGACAATATGAGTACGTAGCTTAGTACGTTAGTCATTAAAGCCAGCTCCTTGGCTTACTAATGTAATCATATTTTAGAGTGGCGATTGTCGTGATTATTAATGTTTCCGTGCTATATCCACGAATGTCATAATAGGAACCATGATGGATCGTGGAGTCGACCGGAGTAGCAAAAAAGATGGCATCTAGATGATCGTGTCGCCACAATGGAATGCTAACTGTTGGTTATATGCTACCCAGGCAAGCCCTGGTGCATAACCCCTATTATTCTGCACTTTAATTTATGCTTGTGCATTAAGTTTTAAAGAGTTGAATAAAAACCACTTGCATATATATATCCTTATCCTATGAGTCCTACTAGTATGTCAGAATCGTGTAGATGGCTATGCTATAGGATTTGGTAGAAGTCGAATGATTATTTGTCACTCGCGAGAGATAGGAAAGATATTATTGTTGTTATTATATTACTATCTCATGGAATATATATGGATGATAATTGGAGACCAAGCGGAAAGGTACTTTGGATCTGGACTTGGTTAGGCATTCGAGCGAGGCTCGGATTGCATTTGTTCCGCATGTGTCAATTGAGGACCGTCCGTTGCTGTGGATGGTAGTCAGGTCACAGACTTATTATCATGAGCACATACTTGCTTATAGGAGCGGGAAGGCTCGTTACACTCTTCTCGTGGGTTCCGGCTCTTTCCGGACCGACTGACTGGAGGCGGGGAAAGATGGAGGTTTAAGCATCATACTGAGATCGGGTCTCAAGTGTGGGGGCTTAGAGTCCAAGTTTGGACGGGACCTGGACCCTATGACAGGTGTGGAATGTGTTGGTCTTGTTTGTGCCTGGGGTACAAATAGGGCGTGTGTTTCGGGCTACCTAGCTAGGATACATTGATTCACGAATCATCGTTTATATGAGATGGTACCGACTTGGCTATGGTCTAACACCATAGTAAGAACTGGAATATGAAAGATGATAAAATGGTTCTGATTGCTCACCACCTGCTTGAAAGTAGCATAGGAGCTTACCTAGAGTGGATAGTTAATGAACTAACGATGACTACTAATAAAATTTAATATAAGGACACACGTTTAGTAATGCTTCCGCAGATACAATAACCCACAAGCCAAATAAGCCTTGCACATCTTTGGAGTTTTTTATTTTTCTCCTGTCGGGTAAGTCTTGCTGAGTACAGTCGAGTACTCAGGGTTTTATTCC